AATAATGTAAATAATGTCTGACAAGTTCTGTATGAGGTTTAACTGTCTACGGAACGCCTGGGCCTTCATAGGCCCAGGTGTTCTGTACGCAGTTAAGCCTGGGTGTGTGTTTCGCATTTTCTGTTTGTGTCTAACTTTCTCTCGCTATATATATATATATATATATATATATATATATATATACCGTCGCGTCTCTCTGTACCGACTCCACCCCAATCACTTGGGTTCCTGACCCCTCTATATCTAGATAACGCCCTCCTCTATTATAGGACAATTCTTAATTCATCTCCTTTTATTTTTTCCTTCTTTTTCCATTTTTCCTACCTTTGCCTTTCAAATTTCCTGTGAAGAAACTGAGAATTCATTTTTGTAAATGCATTTACTTTGATAAATCCAGGGAAAAACTACTTTTTCATGGACGAAAGGATCATCCGTATGAGGTAAATTGTTTGGATCTCATTAATTGTAATTCACTTATATGCTTGATAATAAAAATCATATTGAGCTGTCTTTTGTGCATCAGTTTTAATATTTTATATTAATAGGATCTACTAGGCTTACTTACCCACAGTTTTTAGCTATATATATATATATATATATATATATACATGTAAATATATATATATATATATATATATATATATATATATATATATATATATATATATATATTGTTATGGTCCAATATCCTAGCACCACAGTTATGGTCCAAGGTTAGAACCAAGGAAGAACAACCCGAACACAAGAGTAGAATAACAAAGATATATTACAACAGAAATATAGTACAAGAAGTTGAAGGTGTTAGTAATTACTGTCCGTCTGGTTTAGAGTGAACTAATATTGTCTCGACTCGTTACACCATTCATTCTATTTAATATCCCACCCCCGAGGAATATATGTGGCACGAGGCCGAGGTTAAAGTGGGTTTCTCCGAGCCCGTAAACTCGGCCAAAAATATACCCTTTGAACCCGCCTAGACGGGTTCAGGGCCTGTCTACCTCCCCAGACGAAACCCCGCCCTTCGGCAAAACTTCGTCCGGGTTCCTCTCTGTCAAAGCAGAGAGTTCAACAATCATTCATTATACCTCTTGAGAGGCGCAGTATTTATAGTGTCAGGAAGAGTCCATTATCGTTATAGGTAAGTTCCCCTAACATACATGTGTGTGTGTGTGTGTGTGTGTGTGTGTGTGTGTGTGTGTGTGTGTGTGTGTGTGTGTGTGTGTGTGTGTGTTTTAACCGATCTTTTGCCGCGCAGTGGGTTCCATAGAAAGGTGTCTCTCACAAGTTCTAACTTAACTTCCCCAGGAATGACCAGCTAGCCGAAACCTTCTCTTCTCGAATTCTCTTGACCCTTTCCTTCCAGCCATCTCTGTCCGACATCGCTGTCGGCAGGTCCTCCAGATGGCATCCAGATTCATCTACAAGCTGGTCAATGTAGATGTGTTGAGGTCTTTCAACAACCGATCTTTTGCCGCGCAATGGGTTCCATAGGAGGGTGTCACTCACAAGTTCTAACTTAACTTCTTCAGGAATGACCATCTAGCCGAAGCGTTCCCTCTCTTAGCGAAACTCAGATAGGAGGAAGATTCTCATACACGCGTTTCTTTGTTGGGTGTTGCTGTTTAGCTGATGTCCAATGTAACTCGTAACATACTTGTCTATGTTCTGTCAAGTAATGCTTCTTGGTGTTTCGTCAGTATCCATGTTGTTAAGCCGTAGAGCAAGATAGATTCTACCGTGGCCTTAAAGAAGTCCTTGTCAAAGAGGGAGGACTTCCAGATGGTACAAAGACCATCGAGGAAACCTCATGCCTTGCCTTTTCGGATTTTGATGTCTCTCTGCGCTGACTGGATGTTGTTGCCGAGGTAAACAATTTCCTGGACGAACTTGCTGTTGTTGCCGTTTTTCTTCTTAATTTCTCCTTCTTGGTTGTAGCTGATAAATTCTGTTTTGCCAGCATTAATGTAGAAACCACTCTCGATGAGACAGAGAAATTTGGTAGCCTTATCAATTGTGTCTGACAACAAGGCAAGGTCATCTGCGTAATCTACGTCTGTTATAGTTTTTGCTGGGTGACATGAACTTCCTGCTTTTTTAAGGCGAACCCCAGATGTTGTTGTTGATTAGCAGATGTTCGCAGGGCGTAATCTATGTACAATATGAAAAGGAGAGGGGCAAATGTATCTCCTTGCAAGATTCCCTCGAAAACTTTAAAAACTTCGTATCTCCATCGGAGAGTATCTGCATCATTCGTTCAAATTCAAAATCTGCATCATTCGTTCAAATTTCCATATATATTCTGTGTTTATAACTTGTTGGCATATGCACGCACCTGCTGCATTTCTGCCGGAAACGCTGGGAAGAACATGTGCTTGTATTGAAACATTCGTACAAATTTCGATATCTTTGCTGCCATTTCCCATTTCAACTTGTATGTTTTTTTTGTTCGTATTTCAGAGACAAGCTCTTCTTACTCTTATACAGTGATTCATAGGCTTACATCCACATGATATTAAAACACCAATCCCCGTAGGATGACCAAATTTAAACAGCGTCGATCCTGGTCTCTACCAAGATTGGTGACCGTCTGGGAATAGCAGGTGCTATAAGCTTGGATATGCGGGTGGTGTACTGGATAATGGCTCGGATATGTTAATTTAAGAGCACTCAGAATTTGTAGCCCTCAATATTTACACGAAGAGGAAAAATTTTTTGAAAAAACTTTCAATACCCTCACTATTCCATATTCAATGCGAAACAAAAAGATTATTCCAAAATAGGGGAGATGTCCTTCCTAAGAAGCCCAGCGCATCAAAAAATATATTATTCTATCCACTAACTAAATCACAAGTATAACTGAAAAGAATTTATCTAAATTCAACATAAAATTTATCACAACAACATCTAAAACAATTAAAGACTTAATCGATAAAAAAAACCCAAAAAACAAAATTAAAAAAACTTGAAGGAATAATTTACTCTATCAAGTACAAGAATTGCCAGAATGAGTACATTGGAGAAACCTCAAGAATTTTTTTAAGAAGACTATATGAACAGTGACGTAGCTAAGGTGGGGGTGGCGAGGGGGACGGACTGCCCCGGGTGCCAGCACAGGAGGGGTGACACAATGTCACCCCCAACAAAATTTTTCAACCAGGCTAAGATGCCAAAAATAGTCTGAAAACAGTGGTGGAGACACAGGGTTTCGCAGGCGGGCATATAACCCCCAGAAATAATTTATGACCCCCCCAGTTTTGTCCCTCCGTCAGAACCTTTCTAATAAATTGTCGGGAAATTTGTGAGTAGGAAAAATAGCAATGTTTTCAGCTTTCACGTGTTTCAGTTGCTACAATCTTGGTTACTAACAAGAGACATTGTTGTAACATTTTATGATATGATATGGTGTTTTAACTCTGCATCATTAATAACAACAAAGGGAAATACGAAGCCAAAAGTGCAACAATTTCAGTCTTGCCTGTGTATCAATTCGCTGAGATACAATTTTCCATTGAGTGAGCGATATACTTTTGAATATATCTACTAGTGTTGGGACGATTAATCGGAATCGGAATCGAGAATCGGAAAAATCGTAACTTTTTGGGGTATCGGAAAAATTTTTGCCTATTTTCCGATTCCAAAAACGATTCTTTTAAATTTTTAACTTAATTTTCCATTATTGGTACTAATGATAAATATTTATTGTTTTTAAATTATCACTAAAACTAAAAGCATAATAACATCAAAATACGATGTAAATTTTTTTTACTTGTATAAAGAAAAACAAAAAAAAAAAAAACTTTGCATAAATTCTCTAGGTAACCTTTAAAAGAATACAGTTAATTTACAATGTTCCGAAAAATGCTTAAAAATTAAATAGAAGATTTTTGTCAAGAAGAAGGGACATTTTGAAAAACAACACTCAAAACGCATTTTTTGTTCACTGTAATGAAACTCACGCCAATTTTGACATAAGGAATTCTACTTTGATTAAAATAGAAATCCGTTGAGAAGAAAATCTCTGGAAAGAGCTTTGATCGTTTATTCAACCAAGGTAAATTTGCGTTTGGGCTCTAATAATATATGACCATTCTTGATAGATTTTCTGTTGTCACAATGTGGGATAGGCAGGGACAAAGGTGAGGGAGGGGAAAAAAGAAAAAGAATACAGATGGAGTGAAAAAAATATACTTTCGAAAATATTCTTTCAACAATTTTGAAACCACGAGCGTCTGTCGTTTCGTGCGCATGTGTAGATGTGTCAACATCAACAAAGCCCAGTCCGATGAAATCTTAACGCACGAAACGTGCCAAAAAAAAAAAAACAAAAAAAAAACAACTTTCTTCCAATTTGCAATATTATTTTTCTAAATACTCTTTGATGATATATAAAATTATACAAAATTATACATCGTTATATGACACACACATACACAGACACACACACACACATACTGACACACATACAGACACACACCCATACAGAGACACATACTCACACACACGCGCACACACACACACACACACACACACACACACACACACACACACACACACACATATATATATGTATATTGTGTATACTTAGTCAGCATATTTTTATTCAAACAGGTTTGGTATTTTTCTTAATCAATTTTCTAAGACTACCAAGAAATTAATCTACGAACTTGAAGGACACATCAAAAACTAATCGACATGACATATCTAAATGATTTAACCAAACCTGTTTGAATTTATATATATATATATATATATATATATATATATATATATATATATAAATATATATATATATTTATGCAAATTTTTTTTATACGTTCATTTTATATAATTGTCGGACTTTGTCTATTTCATAATATATGCAAATATATAGAAAAATAGGAAAGAACACGTTAGGTAAATAATCCGAAGTTCTTTAGTATTTTTGCTTTTATTTTTAAAAAAATTAACAGTGCTCAATACAAAAGTAGAGCCTAAAAAGAAACATGACAACTCTTATGTAGCGAAGGAATCATATTTAAAAAAAAATAATTATAATTATCTATCTATCTATCTATCTATCTATCTATCTATCTATCTATGCAGTGTACTCCAAAATATTTATGTCCATTTCAGGAAAGGAAAACTTGTATAGATATTGTAATACTGAATTTATTCAGGTATCACGAGATTAATACAGATTCGAGAATCACAAGAGATGCTTAAAATGGTGGCATTTAGCTTCCAGACATTTATTATTACGGCGAACGAGTGCTTGGGCAACGTTGGGCAAAGTGTCCACTGGGATTGCTGCACATGAATTTTCAATTTCTTGTTTAAGGGCTTCCAATAGGGTCGGTTTTCTTCAATATCCAACATCCTTTAGGACTTGATGCTACAACCCAGAGGCTTTACCTTTTCTGAAGCGTGGATACATTTTTTTGGCGGACTCTATCTCTCGTTCTTTTTTCCCCCTCTCTATCTTTATATATATATATATATATATATATATATATATATATATCAAGTGTGTATGTAAAGTTTTTCACGAGAACACAGGCATATCACCCAATCCACTCAAATATTCTTGTCAATATTGACGAGTATTAAACTCGAAACAATAAATTTTTCAAGTATTTCAAAGGAAGAAACAAACAATATGCATTTTACATACAAAAGTTAAAAACAATAGGAATAAATAAAACGGGCTTCCTGAATTTTCCGTGTTTCAAGGTTATATTGTGAATACATTTTTACGGAAGCAATAAAAACATCTCACTCATCATCCATTTTTTTCTTATGTTTCTTCCGGTGAAATATTCATAAGATGGGCGAAATTGCCAACACACCCACTTTTTGTATCGTCCAGAGTATTTTTAACGTTAAACTTTTTGAAAGCTTTAATAATCTGTTTCAAAATGCATCCTATGATGTACAAACTCACTGATGTAGAAAGATGAATTCGCTATTGATACCTTATACTCCCATGTCACTTAAAAGCTTCCATCTTTCCTGGTGATGTGACGTATGCTTGCTTTGTATGTTAAAAAAACACAAGTGCTTCTTAAATGTTAAATTTGATAAAACGTGTGAATTACAAATCGCAAATTAAAGTAACTTGATTTCTCTGTCGCCTCTCGTCTGTCTTCTTGTTACGATATCTAGCAAGAGATGTTTTGTTTGTTTGTTTTGAGGTACACCAACATCTTATGGGTCATTTAATGCCGAAATTTAATTTTGAAGTGTTGACTTCAATGTTCACTTTTATATTTACACACGCTCTATCTCTAATATTGAGCACTTTATCCCATAAATATAGTACACCTTCAGAGTATAATTTCACACACACACACACACATATATATATATATATATATATATATATATATATATATATATATATATATATATATATAACAGTGAAATCTAAAGTTACCTCATGAGTATAGTCTATTTCAACTGACGCCGAATGCGTGTAGCTTATTTAGCACAGACGGTGGACTGTATTCAGTGTCGAAACTAGAACTTTAAAATTTAATATTTAGCAATGACAGTTGAAAAATTGATACAGAGCCAATCCATAACACAGCAGACAGGGAAGACTGCTGAGTGGTAGTTAGGGGAGGACGGAAGTTGTCTGTCGTAAAAAGAAAGAACCTCCAAAAATTCATCCCAGATATTAACCTTAAAACCCAAAACTGGGCTTTATAAGAAAGATGATATGAAACTAAAGGAAGTCCGAAAAAAGGAGTTTCGAAAAACGAAATTTTTAATTATCAATTATATAAAAAAATTTCGAACTAAAAATATTCAAAAATAAGAATATAAGATATATAACATGATTAACAATAAATCGTATTTAGATAGTTTATAATAAGAAAGAATATATTAAAAAATTTCATGAAGAATATATATATATATATATATATATATGTATATATATGTATACACATATATATGTGTGTGTGTGTGTGTGTGTGCGTGTCTGTGTCTGTATGTGTGTGTGTTTATTTAGGAAGCCAATGCTTGTTTAAATAGGATTCGTTAAACAAAATATACAAATAAAATATACATTTTAAAATATTTTTTTCTTCTGGAGGGAAAATAAAATATTTTAATGATAAGAGACAAAATTTGGTTATATTTTGCAAAACAACATCTGTATTTTTTAAGGGAATTCTTATGTGATATCATTTCTATAAATGTCATAAACGCCATTTTTAGTGGGTAGACATGTTTGAGAAGTTAAACCTGTTTTATTTTGTTTTATTTTATTAAACACTGAAATAAATAAACAACTGATCTAAATTGAAAAGTCCTGCTAAAAAAAAAAAAAAAAAAAAATCAACCTCTGACAAAAATCGAACCCGCATACCTTTTTTTTTTTTAATCTTAGGAAAACCACTTCTTAAGCCGAAGCAACATCTACTCCGATGGGAAAAATAACCTTCTCCTTCTCCTATGACCCTTCCGGAAGAAGAGACATTTTTCGCGTTGAGACCATCTACGAATTTATATCTGCTACATTCAATTTCTTACCCGAAACGCAAACAACGCATTTTTATTCGGCAATATTTCTCATTATTTTTTTACTTCTTTTTTATTTTATATAAAAGTGAAATTAATAACAATCTATAGGCTGCTTCATAGGAATATATATATATATATATATATATATATATATATATATATATATATATATATATATATATATATATATATATATATATACATTGATGCATGTTTCATTAAATAATATAGACAAGTTTTGTCTATTTATTTTAAGTAAGTAACTTTCATATTTTCCGATAAGCTTAATCACATTATCATCGAAGAACTAAAGGAAATCACCATATTGTTGCATGTTTAAATCCAATCAAAGATGACAATTACTTTTCAATATATCAACCAATACACGGACAAAACACTAATGATAGTCTGTTTTGTTGCGTGAAAAATTTCAAAGCAACGACTAACTAGTGTATATGAGACGCGGAAGCGAAAATCGCGTCGCAGCTCATGACGTCACACATGACCAGGCGAGAGTGAAAACGAGAAGTGTTAAGTATGGGAAGCCGTTGATATTTGTCACAGAAATATAACACACCTTAAAAAACATATATATATATATATATATATATATATATATATATATATATATATGGCCACTCGTATTCGAGGATACCCGTTTACTAGGGCGGTAGCCAGTCCCTAATTCAGACGCTCACTCAGGCACATACTATACTGAGCAGACCTTAGTTACAGTTTCTTGATCAACAATCTAAACAAGGCTAGCACACTGAAAGCCTCGGACACGATGACTTGTGACTTCTTACCCAATTTCACCCACAAAAGGCTTGACCGTGGTATAGCTTTCAGGCACTTTTCGAAGTGGGATTGACCCCCTCTAGATCGATAACATTTGTAAGTCTCCTTTCTAACAAATCAACCATGGTGAGATTCGAACCTAGATTTCATGGCCAGAAAGAGAACGTTCTAAGCACTCGACTACGCGCCTCTCTCTCTCTCTCTCTCTCTCTCTCTATATATATATATATATATATATATATATATATATATATATATATATGTATGCGTGCTATGTTTATGGGACAAATTACTCAATATCAGAGATAGAGCGTAAGTAAATATAAATATAAAAGTGAACATTGAAGTCAACACTCAGAGGCGACAGTCTGTTTCATGCTAGACGCAATCGTCAGGCTGCGAATACTAGATATATCAGTGGTGCATTGTGGGTAATCTATTCCGGCGGTTATTTTCAGGGAGTGTCTATGTGTCTGCGTACCTCATCGGGTGTACGGACATGCATCTATGTTTGCGTTAGCACGAGTGACATCACGGCGACGACCCTCCCACTCCCATGATAGCACCAATACACGCAATCTACATAAACCCAAAATTTAAAAAAAAATCAATCAGTTTGTCTGACGATCGCAAAAGCGTAAAACCCAGGGCCACAAACTCACATCAATACAACCAAATATATATATATTTTTTAAACATTTTGTTAAAAATTTATATATATATATATATATATATATATAAATATTTAAAACAAAATGTTTTAGTTGATTTCGTGGACTTATCTGCATGAGAATCCACCAGGAAGATGTGTGACAGTAATAATGACAATGTGCCGTTGAAATGGACATGACATTCACTAGACTTGACACATTGTGATATTTTTTCTGTGTAGCTATGTGAAAGGACAATTCTATACCCCCACCTCTTCCTACAAACCTAGAGGAACTTCTGCAGAGATTCACTAAGGTGCTATAGAATGTTCCGCAAGACATGCTACAGCGTGTTTGGCAGGAGCTGGACTACGGTATTGACATGTGTCTTGTTACAGCTGGAGCACATATTCAACATTTGTGAAGCTTTGTGAAATTGATTAGAATATCTACATCTATTTAAATATTTTGTTTCAATTTTAATGAATAAATCTCATTCAACATGAAGCCAATTTAATTTCATTTTAGTTACTCACATATTCTCATTTTAAATGATGTCAATGATTTTGTGACACCTATATATATATATATATATATATATATATATATATATATATATATATAAATATATAATAAGATAAATAATATAAATCGAATAAAAAGACAATATAAAACAAAATTAACGTTTGTATTAATACAGGAATATATATATAAATATATATTTATATATATATATAGGAATATATATATATATATATATATATATATATATATGTGTGTGTGTGTGTGTGAAAATATATAGAAAAATAGGAAAGAGCACGTTAGGTAAATAATCCGGAGTACTTTAGTATTTTTGTTTTTATTTAAAAAACAAAAACAAAAAAAAAACAAACAAAAACAGTGCTCCATACAATAGTAGAGCTTAAATTATAATTATTTTCTTTAAAAAATAGGATTCCTATTTAAGTTTCTAAATAATGAAAATTTATTAAACCATAGACATGAGTTAACGGGTTTTTGCCGACATCAGCAAATGTTCGCATTAAATAATTAGCATAATAAAAACAAATTAAATCTCATAGTCTCACAAAAGCTTAACCCAATCATAAGATAAAAAAAATACCTTTAT